CAATGAAATGTAGTTGGTGAATAACAGTATTAATAATGTAGGCTACATATATCTCAGAATACATTCTTGTTTGTGAATATAAAACTTGTTTAAGCAGAGTAAGAATCCATATCCTGTGACACCTCATTTGTTGATTCTTCTATTTTTATGGCTGTAAATATATATACAGCTATTACTTTGACTTAAATATGTAATAGATGTTTCTGTTATATATATTAAATCCCAAACATAGATATTTCTGTAAAGATTACATACTGATTTTGTATACAAAAGTACAAGAATGGAAATATCCCTATAGTTGTATAATTACTATTATATGTAATTAATACTATATAATACAGATCTTACTACATCTATTTATATGTAGATATCTCTTTCATATATACTGACATATGAGCTTCAATATTGAGCATATAATAGATATGTTTAAAGGATAAAAATCCAAAATATGTAATAGAAAATCAGATTTCATGGACTATAGATTTTAAGTTTAATATATGTATATGTGCATGTGTATATATTAGTGGTATTGTTCATTACATATTTCAATGTTTCTTTGGCAAGTACATGTATATAAAGAGAAGTATGTATTGCATACATAGAACTGTATCATCTATAAAGTACGAGAAGAATCAGAAATTAAAAATCAGTTTAAATTTGATTTTGAATGCATTCTAGTCTCAACATATACAGCTGTATTATCATACATCAATATGAATTCTTCAAAGTTGTCTGAAATTTTTATGTTATATATTTTTACTACCAAGGTTTTAATTTTAAGAGGGAAGGGAGTAAGGAAGGAAAAGGAGAGATTGTTCCTTCTAGTTTTGTGAATGATTGGCTCTCAGTCATATGTAGAAATTTGATGTAGTGAATTTTTTTATTAATTAGAGGTTTTTAAACAAGTAACAATGTTTGAAGAATCATGAGAGGATGAAATTGGCATTAGAAGAAACATACAGTTGACTCTGGTTTAGTTTCTATATGGTTAAGATAAGAACATGAGGGAAGATCCAGGGACAAAGTTCTCAGAAATTTCCATTTCCAAGTAGTCTTGGAACTATGTACTTTTTGTTCTATACTGAACCTCTTCTAAGTAAAAGCCTTACATTAGTTTAGAATCATTCTCAATAGATTTTTATAATATTTCATGCTGGTAATAGTTGTGACAAAGTGAAGCCCATCTCCCCTTGAAAAGGAACAATATACTTCACTTTTAAAGGCACTGGGAGTCAGTAGTTTTATATGACAAACTGTACTATCAAATTTTCCCAATATACTGAGAATGTTGGCCACATCTTTCTTAGCTCATTGGTAAAACAAAAAATATTAATGATGATTAATTAAAGGAATATTTTTTCTTTTCCATGGATACATGCTAACTTGAATCCCAGATAACTGTTTCTTTTTAACCCTGTTATCACTAAAGGGCTTAGACTACTCAAATGGTAAGATTCATAAATAACCAGTTTTTGGTCATGGTGAATAAGTGGGGAGGAAGGAAGGGGACGCCTGAAAGGGAGAGTTTTCTTCCAGAAGAACAAGTCAGACTATTTAAAGGGCAGCAATCTTGTGAAAGAGTTAACAGTGGAAGAGTCCAAGCATATCTTCCATCTGTGTTTGGGGAATTGTTAACAGCAATGTGTGGGAAGTCAAACAAAAATGGAGAGCAGAGATTTCTTTGCTTTTTAAAACAAGGATGTTTGTTTTAAGCAAAGTATGTGTGGGGCCAGGAACGGAGAAGGCAAGGCTCCTGTGAGAGAAAAGGGACGGGAAGAGAGGCAAACTAGCCATTCAAAGGACTTTTGTGTGTTCCTGAGAGCAAATAAGCCAAAGTCAATTTTCATTAAGAAGAATGAAAGAAAGGAAGAAGAGAAGAAAGGAGGAAAGGAAGGAAAGAAGGAAGGAATAAAGAAAGAAAGGAAGAAAATGTTGATTCATTATACAGGAAATAGTGCAACTTTAATGCTGTTTCTGGTATGTTAAACCCACCAGCTAGGGCTTACCTTTTAAGTATTATTGAGCTCTGTCTCCATTGGTTTTCCCGGATTTTTCATCTTTTCTCTGAAAATCTTTCTATTTCAATGGAATCTCTTCTTGAATTAAACTGTCACTGAAAAACATTGATTAAATTGTAAGGGTAAGGGGTACAGAAAGGAAGGGACTGAAGAGGAGACTAAGAAACATTAAGGATGCACAAAGAAACGTTTTTGAAAACAGTATTTTGTAAGTTCATTAGAAATAGACTTTTGAAAACACAGTATTTTATAAGCTCATTAAATAAAAAGTTTGACAGAGATACTCTTCAAAAATACACAAAGCTGCTCCCCAAATACATGGATTTTTAAATGAAAATCTTAGTTATCTCTTTATATGTTATTGGTCAGGGAAGCCCCAGAAGTCTCCAAAATAGCATAGGCTATTTATTATGATCGTTCTTGGTGGTTCACTATAATTAAAGGTCAAATCCTATTGCTAAAGACTCTAAACACTTTGGTTATAGGACATAGCAAAATCAATCTCAGATTGACAGGCAACTTCATGGCTAGCTGGAATGTACCATGAATCTGTGGTGATACCCAGCAATGCCAACATTTCAGGCAAGATGAATCTCCTGGTGCAAGAGTGGCATGGTTGTTGGTGGATCTGAGGCCTGCTCCACAGGGGGGAATTCATGCCTAGCATTGTACACCTGGTCAAAACTCCATAGCTGGAAATGCCACAAGGGAAGCCTACTGTTGTTTTGCTAAATGTCATGCTGTCACACAGTCGTCTATATGCTTATGTTTATATCCAGACATGTATTGCTCTTGGCTTTGTCAGAGAAGCTTCTTTTCACAGTGGGCAGTATTTAAAATCGTAGACTTATAACTGGTCAAAGTTTGGAGAATAAGTGACAGTGGTTGAGTACTCAGCCATGGATTCCACATCTGTATCAACATTCCTCTTCCAAGGTTCCAGCAACTTCATGGGAAAGGAGGCAGAAAGAAGATAAGAGCTTGATGATGGTAAGGAGTGTTATGAAATGCCATTTTGGGGCATGACATGCTGTCACACTCATGAACTCACAGCAGCAGTGATCACCTGCACAAGATCAAGCCAGCAGAAATTCCATCATAGATGAGGGAGTGTCTCACAAAGCCCATCTCTAGCTAAAGAGAGTTGACTTTGTTGACTTATAAATAGAAATTTCTTAGGAAAAGCCAACAATGCTTTAGTATTTTATTATTATTTCCAAAGATAGCAAAATGTAATAGCCTTTCATCAATTAAAGGGTAGATTGTCTCATTTCATGTGAAGTTATGAAAATAATACTGTTTGTTAAAAAATATTAGCATCACATAACTAAGTATTTCTTAATTGTGTGAATGCAAGTAAACACAGGAATGTAAAATGAGGAGTTTGGGGGAGTTAAATCTATTTCAAGGATATTATCCCTGCCTGTAATGTACATCATTCAGTTTCAGAAAATAAAAATCTTCAAGATGTTATAAGCTAAAATATTGAGGGATCATATTCAACCATCAAAAATTCTTAATGTTACATACACACTAAAATTTAAACTACCATCTAGTAAAAGGTGCCACGGGAAGCAAATAGGCCACTTCTCTAAATAACAAATTTCTAATTCTTAAGCATTCGTGGAGCCTTGTGATGTTTGTTCATTTATCTAAGACATTCTTCTTGGACTTATGAATATTTATCAGCCACAGAGTTCAATCCAGCATTATGAGAAGCGAGAGGCAGTGTCTTCTGGATGCAAAGGGCACTTTTCATTCTGCTGCTTCTCCACATACTCACTGGCAACTTGTCACGCTTGAATAAGCCATTCAACACAGAACTGCCATCTAATCCAAGTACCTGAAGTGCAAAAATGAGAGGAAGCCTAATGAAGCATGTGTTATCCGTTCAGCGGGAGATGCAGACCCTTTAGTGGAGCACAATTAAATAAGCACAGGAGAGGCTTATATTCATCATCCCCACTACCTTCTGCTTTGCAGACAGGAAACCTATGAGTTCAATTAATGCCTATATTGTAATATGGTACATGAAGTAATCAGTGAATTCAGGATATTCTCTCTCTCTCTCTTTCTTTCTTTTTCTCTCATACACACACAGGTTGTGTGTGTCTGTAATCAATAATTTATCACATATTAAACATTGTGTTCAGTCCTGGTAATGGATACTATTATCAATCAAAATGGCCCCACTATTTATAGGAAACAACAGCCTCTATCAGACATCAATAGGCAAGTCATTTTACAATGTCATTATGCAGACCATGATTGTGGAAGTTTCATGCACTGGAATTCAGTAAAAGGAAACTATTATGGTCCGGTGGAACCACAGACCCACCCACTCACACACCTTCATACCATACACATATACACCCATATACACACATGCACACATACGACAAATGCACATATACACACGTATACACTCATACAAGCACTCTCTCTCTCTCTCACACACACACACACACACACACACACTAGCTACTTTGTGATAAAGAAGTCTCTCTTGACAAAGAACTACATTGAATTTCTCAATCTTATGGGTGTATCTGTGGGGTGGCATGGGCTTGAAACTCTGTGGTTTAGTCACCAAAAGAAAGGAAGCAGAAATCATGGGAGGATTAGTAATAATTAGAGTCACCCTTTCCCCATTTCTCATTAATTCTTCAGGAATCAAGAAGTTCGAAAGCATGCTACTCATTCACACATTTATCATTTTAAACAATATTAGAATTTCGTTTCCACATATATGTATATATACACATATACATATAGCATCTTAGGTGTGGGCTACAAGATACATAGTAGTGAACACAGTTGAATAATCCTGCATTTCTGTAGCTTATAATTAACTAGTGATTAATAGTTAGCTGTTCATGCCACAACTTCTCCTACCACTTCTCCTTATTTAACTACTCAGGGTTCAGTTCCGTGTCTTTCATTGTGCTTAATTTATTGTCTCTTTAGCCTGATTTAGTTTAGGGCAATTCTCTGATCTTCCACTTTCTTAGTTCTGATTTTGAAATATACAGATCTATCAGTTCTAGCTTTTGGTGGGGAGATGTTATAGCAGAGATAATATGATCTTTCCAGAATACTGCAATAGGTAGACTGCTGTGGAATAATTCTTTTGTACACTGTAAAGATTTGTCACTCCAGTTGGTTTAATAAGAACTGACAGGCCTTTGCTCATCACTCCTCCTTTTCTGCAACTGGATTCCAGGAGTTCGACTCAGGGCTTAGCTGTGAATCTCTGCTTCTGCTTCAATCAGCTACTGGATGAAGGCTCTAGGATGGTATATAAGGTAGGCATCAATCTCATTATAGGGGAAGGGCAAGACCAGACTGGAGAAACCCACAGAAACATCTGACCTAAACAAGGGTGAGCTCATGGACCCCAGACAGATAGCTAGGAAACCAGTATAGGACCAACCCAGATCCCCTGAGCATGGGGACCTGGGCAGTCTATGGGATCTCTGGTAGTGGATCAGTATTTATCCCTAGTGTATGATTGGACTTTGGGAGTCCATTCCACATAAAGGGGCAGTCTCTCAGCCTAGACACAAGGGGGAGAGCCTAGGCCCTGCTCCAAATGAGTGACAGTTTTTGAAGATTCCCCCATGGAAGGCCTCACCTTCCCTGGGGAGCAGAAAGGGAATGGGATAGGGGGTTGGTGGGGGGCAGGGGAGGAGGGCAAAGAGAGGAAACTGGGATTGACATGTAAAACAAGCTTGTTTCTGATTTAAATTAAAAAAAGAGAAGAAAAAAAACTGACAGACCAAGTAGCCAGGCAGGAAGTATAGGCAGGACAACCAAACTAAAGATGCTGGGATTAAGAAGAGTGGAGTTAGAGAGATACCAGCAAATGCAGAAAAGCAGGACATGTAGAAAATGAAATTACATGCCATGATCCATATGGCAAGAGGTAATTTATGAGTTAATTTAAATGCAAGAGTTAGCTAGTAACAAGCCTGAGCTATTGGCAGCACATTTATTAATAAAGTTTCTGAGTATTTATTTGAGACCGCAACCAGGGAAAGGAAAATTCTGCCTACAGGAAACACATCACATTTTGAAATAATATATGTAGCTATAGCTTTCCACTTATATGTCTCTATTATTCTATATTTTTCCTGAGCTTTTTTCATCTCTACACTTTACATATGCATCTTACACATGCTTACCTGGTCTGAACATGTTTTCTAGATCCTAAAGCTAGAGACCCAACTGCTTACATGACAGGTCTCATTAGACTCACAAACACTCAATCCTGGATCTGCCACCATGAATTGCTCCTTCTACAGTGTGTCCTGTCTCAAAGATTGGCATCATACCCCATTCAGTTGGACAAGCTAAGATTTTAAAAGCAATCATTGATGTTTTATTTCTCTTTGACTCCCAAATCAATATCCAATCAAGTCTTCCCAGTTTCACCCACTGTATGTTCACAGACAGCATTTTTCAAGAAAAAAAAACTGGAATCGCTGCTTTCACCAAGTCTACTTGGCACAATCCACTAAGCAGCCTTCCAGAACCCAGGTTGCTCTTTTCCAGCTATCTTCCACATTTCAAACAGGTTGATTTTTAATTATCTTTTAGTTTTTGAGATTGGAGTATAATTACATCATCCCTTCTCACATATTTCCTTCCTCTAAGTCATCCCATATATCTATTCTTAATGTAATTTTGAGCAGGTCACATTTTAATTGCCTTACCTCAACCTTGCCTAAATTCTCTTATACACTTACATTGCTCTTAAAATAAAAATTAAAGTGCTGGTATAGAAAAGTGAGCAAAATAAAACCCAATCCTTGCCATGGTGGCCTTTTTGCTACGCTGAGGAAGACTGACATTACTGCAATAATCACAACAAATGACAAAAGTAAGTGCTCTGTGTGGTTAGATCACTGCCTGCCTCTCAGCTTTATCTCAAACTCCCAGCCTATTTCTGCCCTCTAAATACACTAGCTATCTTAACCCCCTATATTTGTACATATTGCTCCCTTTGATTGCTTAAATAAAGTTCTTGTACTCACTCAGCCAATCTATTCATCATTTGGATCACTGATTCTTGACATTTTCCATCTTAGTTGAGACATTCTGTAACATGCATTTGTAAAACACATTCCTTATATGCAGAATTACACATAATTTCTTGTGATTATTGGGAAGCTATTGATCTTCCCCAAACAGAGTACAGGCGCTGTAAAAGCAAGGATTTTATTCACCTTGCTAGTATAGAATCATAGCACCTGGCACAACACCAAGCATGTAGTAGTTGATCTGTAAGTATTTGTTGAATAGTTTAGTAATATAAACTCTACCGATCTGCATTATAATTAAATGACTCAATCATATATTATTATACATGAACTACAATTATCTGTTACTGATGAGTTTCTGCTTACAGACAACAATGTTCCTTTAGAACATAATGTTTCTGAGGTTGAAATATTTATTAGCTAATACTGCCACACAATGAAAAAAATTCCTCCTTATAATCATTTGGAAAAAGTTTACTGAAACATTCTGAACATATTATATTCATTGGAAGTCCTCAGGAAAAAATTCTCTTTGATTTTAAGAAATGGCTATCCCTTTAGTTCATAAAACCACTTTTAAATTATTAACAATAATGAATGATACAATGATGAAATTTTTCTGTCTACAATTATTTTGGGTAAGTCAACAGTGCTCCATTATCTCAATATGAATCAAAACCATTTCTACACCAACCATGCAACCTGATGGAATTAACCTACACAGATTCTCTCAACAAAGCATCCATCAAGCATATGACTTAACCTGATTATAATCTGCTTTCAACTAAACTGTATTTCTACTTGATTTGTGTAGATCTTCAGTTGTAATGTTACTACAATTGTTTGACTGTAATGAATTTTGCCATCTAAGATTAGGCTTGCTGGGAGGAGAGAAAAGAAATGCTGTTGCTTGCTGTCTTCAAGTTTTCAGGGCATTGACTATATTTGGAGGCAGTATTTGTCCTAACAGTGTGCTGAAATGAATATTTCATTTCTATCTCAAGCCACATTCATAGTCTTGTTAAAAATTAGTGTCAGTGGCTGGAAAGATGGATCAGCGGTTTAGAGCACTTGTTGCTCTTACAAAGGACCCCGGGTTTGATTCCCAGCTTAAAACCATCTGTAACTCCATCTCTAGGGGATTTGACACCCTCTTCTGATCTCTACAGGCACCTGGCATGCATATGCTACACAAACATGTTTGTGGGCAAAACACACAAACACATAAAATAAATAAATATAAAAATAGTTATTAGATCATTCTCAGTGAATCTGATTATCTTAGAATTTACAAAAACATGTTTGCTATTCGAAAATACTACAGCAAATTTTCACAAGTTGTATACCCCTAGGGCAGAATTAAGAGAAACTTTCAGATCTATGTACTCGATATTTATTCAGTTTTTGTATAATTTGAGTCTGAATGATGAATGTGTAGTGTTTAGCAAAAAGTTAATTAAAAAACCATCTTTAACTGGCCTAATGAGAATGTTTGTGGGGAATGTGAAGGCTAGAGTGAGAGCAGGTGAACATGAGAAGATCCTGAGAATTTCCAGGTCATCCCTGAGAGCAAGGCAGCATCCTCTGCACGCTGAGAATAGGGTGGAACAGTAAGGTACCTTTCAGGAACTCAGAGCTTCTGTGGCATATGTCATCTCAGACCTCCAAAGTCTGGAGTCCAAAACCTTTGGGGATATATAAATGCAATAACAACACTAGCGAGAACAGAGGAGGACTTAAAAAAAAAAGCTAAGAACTGGCTTCACAGATTGGCTGCTGGAGATGCTACATGCTGCTAAAGAGACACCTTCTGCGTACAGAAAGCTGGAAGCCAGGCAACAAGCACAGAGACCTTGGTGGTCCCATGAAGGGGCAGACCTCAAGTTCTGCAAAAGGCAAAGTCTGGGTTTCACCATCAAATCATCTAGATACAGTGTTGAGCTGAATCAGGTGGTATGACAGAGAAGGGTGTGCCACCCTCAAGGTGTACAGGTAATGTTGGTCTCTACTGGCAGCTACTCATAACACTGGACAAACAGCATGAACAACTGAGTAAAGGTTACTTCTGATGTTTCCCCCAGAGTCAAAGAGAGAATGAATGGGCTCAGTAAGACTGTTTGTGATTGACCTGTGTTTGCCTTCCTGGGCTCTCATCCTGCCGTCTCTAGTTCATTACTCTTTGGAATCTGTCCCACAAACTCTAACTTCCCCGATTCTGGCACATTCTCATCACTGTTTCCTTACTCAGGTAAGACCAATGTGCGTTTCCCTTTCGTTCTCTCTCTGTAAACCACCTCCAGATATAAGCTCACTCCCTTGTTTTTCTTTGTCTCTTTTCTAGGGGAGGGCAATAGTCTTACCATGCCTATTGGCTAATGTCTGAGAATTACTACTTTACAAAACGTTAAATTTTTTGCATTTGTTTATTGTGTGTGTGTTTGTGTGTTTGTATTCATGCATGTATACATACATATACATGCTATACCACACATGTCAGAAAGGACAACTTTCATTAATTGATTTTTCCCTATCTTCTATGTGGGGCCTGTGGATCACACTCAAGTCAGACTTGGCAGCAGAAGCTTTTAGCCCCTGATCTATCTGGCTAGCTCCCATTTCACGTACTTATGTGACATTTTCTAATTGTTTAAGATGAAAACATTTATCAGTTTTTTGTTAGTCAGTACAGCCAAAATCAAAATCTGCTATTGTTTTTCACAAATTAATCTAAAGCATGCTGTTGGATGAGAAGATGTATAATACAAAGACTGATATGATAAGATCCCATTCTTGATGAGGATTAAATGGAACCTGGAGCTTGTGACTCTTACACACTTAGAAGCATCTGTTAACAGCAAAGAGCATCCTAACACATCCTAACACAAACACACATCCCACCTGCCTTTCCCTTTCCTTTCTGCTAAGGCAGAAGTCAAGCTTCACTGGAAGTACTCCTCTCTGCATCTTTATGACAGAAGCTGACTGTGTCCAGATATGTTCCTGGATGCCACAGAACCCTTTCTACAGGTTCTGTATGAGCTTTGGCTAAGCATAGCAGGGTATGGTCTCCTGATGTTTCTTCTCAAACTTTGGCCCTAAACTGACTATGCCCAATAATATGCATTTTAATCCAAATGTGCCTTGGAATGTGTCCTTGATTAAAGTGATTTTCTATGCCACATATACAAGATCTGGAATAACCTACCCATAATTGTTTAGAGAGGGTACTAGTTTTCGAATAACTCTGGTCTTCTCCACAGCTGTTACCAGTAGTACCCCTGTCTATATTCTTTCATTTTCTAGTGTGCTTATTTGCTTAGCCCTTACCAAGAGAATGATAGGAAGGACCCACTGTATTCAGTGGCATACCTCTTTTGCCTTCATGTTCTGTGCTCAGCACCCCCGAAGACCTAAAGGCTCCAGTATACTGCTGTAGCCAGCTATTGTCAATAATAACATGTCACTATGACTTTCTTTCAAGTGCTGTGGAACTGGTGTTAGGATTACAGAACTCAGAACCCAACCTTATTCTCAAAGGGATATCAAGAAGGCAGATTTTGATGATGGGAAAGCCGGAAGATGGGAAAGGGTTGTGTATAACTAACTGACAGAAAACAAATGAATCGTGTTGTTGCTAGAACTGTAAAATCTAACCAGTGGCAAAAGTAACTCCCTTTGACTCCCTAGATAGGTAGGCAAAAAATATTCAATTCCTTTTGAAAAGGAATAATTATGTGGTAAGTGTGTACAAGAGAAGGAACTACACCTTGTTTTGGTTATATGTCTGTGCCAGACAAACTCGGGAGGCAGCAACAAAACAATGGAGCTGGAACCTGGATTTCTTGGAGCCAGGACCAAAGTCCATGAGTAATGGAAATTCCTCTCATCGGTGTCACCTTCACATTTACCAAACCCCGTCTCTGTCTTCTCCCTCATTTGTGCCTTTTTGGAATAAAATAAAAAGGTACTGAAGAATATATAAAGTAATTATTTAGCTATGAATAACTGCTGAGCAAATTGACAGCAGAAGGAAGTTGGATCTGTGTCCTCACTTCCAACTGAAGGTTTTTTACAGTTTAAGCAAAGGCAGTTTTGTGAAGGTTTTTTTTTTGTTTGTTTGTTTTTTGTTTTTGTTTTTTATGACAGCAGAACACTTTAAAGGCAGTGTTGGGGACTAAGCTTCGCCTTTTATTATTGTACACATATAATTATTTTTAATGTTTCAGAGTTTTTTGATTATGTAAATATCTTGGTCAAGAAAAATTTCTTTGTGGTGCTTTGATTCTTCCAGGCTTCATTTCATTATCATGAGTATTTAACCTAGGGAATCCACTCCCTAGCTTTCTAAGAACTATTAGATGGGCAAGAAGCCTGTGAGTCTAATAATAGTTCATTCTTTGAAACAGGAAGCAAAATTTTGCCAAGATTAAACAAGCCCAAACACCAAAGGTTCAAGGTCAGGTTGAAAAAGAAACCACAGATTTTGATTTGATCTAAACTTGGCAGGGTAATCCTCGCATGATTGTTTTTACTATTGAATGAAGGAGATAAATATTCACAGTTGAACAAAGAGAAGCAGGGAGACCAGTTTGAACTAGCAGGATGCTCAGGAATGGATTAAAAGCTCAGGTCTGTTAAGTGAACATGAACCTGAGGACCTGTGCTCATGTTGCATTCCCAATGCATCTGGAGAATCTTACCAGGAGGGTGACTGCCTTTGTAGAAGTCAGCTGAGCTTTCCGAAGCAAATGAACACCCCAAACATACAAATATGCCAAGTGCATAGTAATTTGCAGAAGGAATGTTCAAAACTGAGAAGTGAGGGGTCCACGAAAAAGTTTAGATGAAAAAAAGTCAATTTTGAATTACCATTTATGCCACGTAGTTAACGTGGCCAAAATTCCTTCATTTGCATATCAGAAATCTAAGGAAAGAAGAGTGTTATGTGTAAAATGTTTTCAAGTCACTAATACACACACACACTGATTTCTTTTTTGTGGGGGGTGGGGTTCAAGACAGTGTTTCTCTGTGTAACAGTCCTAGTTGTCCATCATTCCAGGCTGGCCTTGAACTCACAGAGACCCACCTACCTCTGCCTTCCTAGTGCTGGGATTAAAGGAGTACGCCACCAGCCAGCTCTTACACATCATTATTTGATACTGCACATCAGATTCCTGGTGTCAGGGAATGTCATTGAGCTATAGACTGGCTTTGCTTGGTCTGTATTCATTGTGTTTCCTGAAAGAACTTCCAGAAGCAGAGTCCAGAACGTTTCTTAAAACTTTTACTTGGAGGCTCTGAAGTACAATGCAGAATGTATGTATAAAACGTAAACACAATGAATTATTATTTCAAAAACCCACACAGCTATCACAGGGGCCGGGAACCAAGGTCATGTCAGTAATTCATAACCCTTGCCAGAGTCAATAATTATAAGCTCTATCTTCCAAGTGTAATGTGGCTTAAACAGACTTTACCTGAAGGTTTCTGACAAATGAGTATTTTTTAAAGCCAGGATTGGTGTTCTGTCATAGTAAGACTGTCCAGGAAGGAATATCACCTCCAACAGAAGTTCAGCCTTTTCTGTTGGTGCCTTGCATGATGTTCAGTTCCAAGATCCACCCAAAGGAGAACCCACTGCCTCTCTGGAGTTTGAATTTGTGTAGGAGTGGACCTGAGGTCCCGTGTCTAAAATCAGAAATCCCACTTTCCTCACAGGTGGTTTCTCATGTGTTAGACCTTTGGTAGGATGATGTCATGGCCAAATACAATTGTCAAAAAAGTGAACTATCTCTCTTTAATTTTACTAGGAATTAATGAATGAATGAGTGTGATTCCACTATGTCCTCCATCAACAGGTCCTTGGATACACATACCTTGAAAGCGAGGTGGTTGGAAATTCCAAACCAGATTCCTTTATCCTGGCTTGGTCACCTGAAAAACCACTACCCAGCTTCTCTGGTATAGGGAATTAAATGTGTTGTCTTTTTGGTTAAAGGGCTAAGTGAGACAAAGACACTTAAAGACACTGTAAAAATGCTATTTGGCAACAATCCCTCCTGAGGCAGCAAAGTTCTAAAAATCAAAATATATGCTTGGGTTTCATTCGCCCTAGCAGCTGCAAAGTGTTTAATGATCTGGCCACCGTGAGTGAGACACCGAATCCATTGCAGTCAGTTCTGAAAGATCCAGGGGGTCCTTCTGAGTGAACTGGGTTGCTTGATTTAACAAGGCTAAGCACTCTTCTGCAAAGTCAAACCTTGTGTTTTTGCTAAAGTACTTTGGAGTGTGCGGCCATTTTTCCTAACAGCCAACAAGTGATGCTCTCATGGAAAGCCTGATTCTCAGATCTTGGGCTTTGTCCCTTTGTATGACTCAAAGGTGAAGCCTGGAGCAAGCCTGCTTACTGCCTGCACAGCCTCGTTCTTTCCTTTTCCATTTTAAAGACTCACTGGCTCTTCATCCCTAACGTTGGCCTTGTGTGATTCCCTGGGCAGCTTCTGAACTCACTGGCTCTCTTAAGCACAAAGTCTTGAATCACTTCTCCCAGGACCTGCCCGGGCATTGATTGTCCCACTGAACGATCTGTTCTGGGCTCCAGTCAGACGTTGCCACAGATCGGTGTCTGGCCCTTGATATGTGGTCTCTTCCTGCATCCCCAGCCACCAGCTTTGTGCTTGGGGCTTTACATGAACACAACACAACTGGATGAGAAATCGTTGATTTTTTTGAGTCTTTGTTGATTCTGGAATCGAACCTCATACCCCTTGGTCATGCTTTGCAAGCCCTATAATTAAGTTGGACTCACGAACCTTTTAGCATAAATAAGATAATTGAGGTGGCAGAGTGTCTAATACTGGTTCCCAGGATTATTAAATTCTTGGTTATCTGTGTCTTCATCAGCAACAGTGGGCTGCAATAATCTTTAACATTGCTTTCAGTTCCCTACATCCTTGATTCATTGAATTCTGTGTTCTCATGAGAAAAAAGATGTTTATTGTTCTCTCTACTACTAAAAATTGTCACTTAAAATACATTTGTTTGTTTTTGTTTTGCCTTTTTTTTTTAACTAAATGGCTTATATTTACATTTTCACCACTTAACAAAATGCTTCTTACTGATGGGTATTTTGTAATTACAAAAGCAATCTCAGATGTGAAACGCCACCTGGTGGGCATGTTCTCAGGCAGGTCTTGGCCCTGCAAGAACAAGAGAGCTTTGTTCTCTGGCCAAGAAATCGCAGCATACCTATACTTTCTCCTTCCTATACTCAAATCTCAACTTTGAAATTGCCTTTGCTTTCTGTGAATCACATGAAAGTTTTACATGTTAAAAGAAAATATATTGATTTGGACCCTGTTTATTTGATATTTTTCTGCTTGTTTCACATTTACAATGTGGTAGGCACTATGGGGGCGGGGGAGGGGGGTATAACTCCAGAAAACTAAGACTGGGTGTTTTTAGTCTCTTATCAATTTGGTTAGAGAACAATCCTTGAGCATTCAAAGACACCTTGGCTAGACAGACAGACAGACAGACAGACAGACAGACAGACAGATAGACAGACAGACAACAAGGGATAGAAGAGCCTGCATGTCTTAGAGTAGAACATACAATACAGCCCAGCCTTTTCTGTAGTGCCTGGCACTGGCTCAGCAGTTTACAATTTGCCTTCTTTCAAAGGGAAACCGTTTAGAGGGTAATCTGTGGCCCTGCATTAGCAGAGTTATTTCAGTGTGAAGTGGAATCTTTGTCTGGATAATGTTTTCCCTAAGTTTAAGGAAATCTAAATGACCTCCACTTAAAAGGAACTAAAGCACATGATTATGCTGGCTTCTTTCTCCACCTCAGAGAGAAATATGCCTCTATGATGTCCACAAAGGTTCAAAGACGTTAGGAGAAGGTGGTCACGGTTAATTAATGAAGCATCAAGAGGATTGCTACCAGCCTCCAGCCCTGCTTATGATGCCTCCAAGGTACTTTATTTAATTTTCGCAGCAGAAACTCATTCATTTAACCAGAGCTAATGATTCTTTCCAGCAGCCCCAGGTCAGCCAGCTATTCATATTGTAATTGCATCACTGTCTCTCTGTATTTCAGCCCCTCACAAACACAGTTTTTCCCCCTTTTCATTAGTTTTTCTCTGCCCTAATTGCCATCAGTCAGCTTAGGACATTATGATATTTCAGTATCAGTTTCCTGTGTCCATCCACCTAGTGCAGAATATGTTTGCTTCTTTGCAGGTTTTCATTTGATTTTCCTCTTTCAGACACTTCTTAGGATGCCTCAAAAATTTTGAAATTTCTCTGAACCTGAAAAACAATTGTTTTATTGGGATATCCACTCTAGTTGAAATTGCCTTCCTTCCTCGATCTTGTCTTCCTTCTTCCTCATAGCTGGACTGTAAATACAACCTCTTTGAGTTCTGTAAACACAGGCATTTCTATATGGCCTTTTGCCCTAACTGAGACCCTCAAAATAGTGAATAAAAATTTCTTGCTCATATTCTTGTCTCTCTGTTCTCTAAAGGGTTTAATAAGCTGCCTCTTCTTATAGGTACCTTTTAAAAGAGGGCTTGGAGGCCAGGCCAAATAATATAAAGGAAAGGAAGACTCCAGGGGCAAATGGCACAAATTCTCAGTGGGGTTTAGGAGCACAAACAGGGAGACAGTACAGTTGGTGGAATAGTAGCTTGACTGAAATCATATCCACATATTCACCTCTAGAACCTCTTAATGTGACCTTATTGGGCGGGGAGCACTCACAAATATAACTGAGGCCTAAGACGTGGTCATCCTAGTTTACCTGGACAGGCACTAAATCCTAGGACAAGTGTGTTTATTAGAGATGCAGAGAAGGCATAGATGCAGAGGAGAAAACCCTGTGAAGATAGTGGAATATAATCAAATTCTGCAGCCACCAACCATGTAATTTCTGTGCTCATCTGAAACTAGACATGGCAGCAAGGGTTTCCCCTCCTCTAGAATATTTGAAAGGCAGGTGGCTCTATCAACACCTTGATTTCAGGACTTTAGACAACAGCTGTAAGAGAATACATTTTTAGTTGTTGAATACTACCGAGTTTGTGATACTTTATTATGATAAGTATAGCATTCCAACACACAAGCTGCTAGTCTATTTGGCTACTGTAACAAACGACTATAGATGGGGCAGTTTACAACAATGGGTTCATTTATCAGAGTCCCAGAGAACGGTGCTAGTCATTTTGATAAGGGCTTAGGTTCGTCCCTGCTTACAAGACGGCACCTTGCAGCTGTGTCCTTAAAAAGCATGGATGAAGAGCTACTGGAAGGGAAAATGGCCTGGCTGGTTCCTTCTAACCTTTGTTTCAGGACATTAATCACATTAGTGAGGGCAGATACCAAATATCCTAATCACTCCCAAGTGCCCTGTGTTAGTTAACACCATCATCTTCCCCATCATCTTCCCCATAGTCTTCCCCATCGTCTTCCCCATCGTCTGCCCCATCGTCTTCCCCATTGTCTTCCCATCGCCTTCCCCATTGTCTTCCCCATTGTCTTCCCATCGCCTTCCCCATTGTCTTCCCATTGTCTTCCCCATTGTCTTCCCATCGCCTTCCCCATTGTCTTCCCATTGTCTTCCCCATTGTCTTCCCATCGCCTTCCCCATTGTCTTCCCCATTGTCTTCCCCATTGTCTTCCCCATTGCCTTCCCCATTGTCTTCCCCATCGCCTTCCTCATTGTCTTCCCCATTGTCTTCCCCATCGCCTTCCTCATTGTCTTCCCATTGTCTTCCCCATTGTCTTCCCATTGTCTTCCCATCATCTTCCCCATTGTCTTCCCATCGCCTTCCCCATTGCCTTTCCCATCGCCTTCCCCATTGCCTTCCTCATTGTCTTCCCATTGTCTTCCCCATCGCCTTCCCCATTGTCTTCCCATTGTCTTCCCATCATCTTCCCCATTGTCTTCCCATCGCCTTCCCCATTGCCTTTCCCATCGCCTTCCCCATCGCCTTCCTCATTGTCTTCCCATTGTCTTCCCCATCGCCTTCCCCATCATCTTCACCATTGTCTTCCCTATCGCCTTCCCCATCACCTTCCACCATTGTCTTCCCATTGTCTTCTGCCATTACCTCCCACCATTTCCTGGCTTCTATCACTCTCTTCTTGCACTGCCTTGGGGGTTATATTTACACACATGAATTTTGAAAACATACTGATACCAGAAAACCTGGCAGACAAATAAAACCCTTTCAGGAGGGAGTCTGGGTCTACTTTCAACAATTCCTTCTTTACTTCAAGTGTAATTATGTAGAATTTTGAAAGGCAGCCTGATAGAAAAATAAACTTAATAATGTCTACGTAGAGTATGGTGACATGTTTGAAGTGATCTGAAAGCGATAACTGTTAAGGAGATGTAGCAGGTGTATTTATTTTTGCCCTTTCCCTAATTTAGCAACAATTCTAGGTACCACAGACATTTGCGAATCTGTTGCCTTCAAGCCAATGTCTGGCCAACTTCTTGAAACATTTGTTGCTTTTTGCACATGTAGCACAGTTGAGTAAACAGCATCGTAGATCTTAAAAATATCCCAACAGGTCCTTCTGAGTACTTTGATCTCCCGCAGTTTTACTTCATGACTTTGGAATCCTCAAAGCTGAGCTTAAACTGGAAGGCTAAAGGCAAGCATCCATTGCTGAAATTTGACTCTGAAATGGGTGATCCAAAGCATTTGTATCTTTCTCCTAAGTCGGACTCCTTATCAGATGGCAACTGTTTTTCCTTATTAGGCAGATTAGAAGAAATTTTGAAACTTAAATATGTAGTAAGCTTAATTCTTAAACAATACCGATCACACAATTGTTTGTTTAATGAATGAGATTTATTCACTTATGAGTCTATCTTTACGTAGTTCTTGGCTTGTGATAGGTACAATTCAAGTAAGCCTACTGAAGTGGAAAAGTTGAAGGTAGCTATGTGTTCAGGGCTATGAGTCCCTTATACAAAGGAAACAGCTGTAACTCTTTGAGAGTACTAACAAGTAAAACCAACCTGGACTTGAGCAAAGGGAGAGGGCCTGGGCTTCCCTTGAGGCTAGTGGTCTACATTATGATGGTAGTCACTACACTGCCGCATTCAGTTTTATCATGTAGAAACATGAGGCCAGTGTTGCTACTTGTCTCATAGTTTAAGGAAACCCAGAACACTTGAAATTTTAAAAGTTTTCAATGACAATATGTGTGCTGGGGGTGGCATGGGTGGTGATATTCACTCTGTGGTGATCAAACCAAGCTCATCTGCTTCCAGAGGGGTCCAGGTCCCACAGGACTAGATCTAGAGTCTTAGCATCTTTAATTTGCCTCTAATATCCTTGATTTTCTTTCCCATTCACCTTAGTTTCTTTCCCTCTTTAGAAATGGCACCTGCAGTGAAGGGATTCAGGGAGAATCCTGAAAGACCTAGTTCAGTTTTGAAGTGCACAGTCAAGCTTCCCCTGGACAAGCCAGAAGACAGACTGGGAGCTAGTGAACCTGACCACAGCAGCTCAGCACCATGAATCTTTGGCAGAAGATGTTTTGCCTCATGGGGTTTTCCAGTGGGCATCTAAGTTTCTGAAAACCAGATATGTGTTATAATACATAAGGTAAATGTTATCTGTTTCCTACATACCAACCTGATGTATTAGCCGTTACCATAATGGCACTTTTTGAATTAAGCATTTGAGAGGACAATAGGAAGCTTTTGTCCTGAGTATATTAAAATTTGTTTGCCATCAGTGGCATTCTCTTTCATCTGAGCATTATCATGGTGGAATGCAGAATATAGCAATTCATTTTTAGATTGGTTCTTTGCTATAACTAGAAGCTCTATCTTGATGTCAATGACCCATATTTCCAACTACGTAACTACCAGGTCTTTACTCCTACTTAACACACACTAATTTAGGCTGAATTTCTTTATCTGAAATTATTGAGAATTAACATTTGGAATTTTTTTCTTTTTTGGATTTTGGAATGCTTTTGCATACTTAATGAAATATAGTAGAGGTGGAACCCAAGTCTAGGTAGGAAATTCATTTATATTTGTTTTATACCTTGGACACATGGTTTAAAGGAAATTTTATATAATATTTTTAATTCCCCTGACTTTTGGCTGTCACCTTTCATGAGGTTAGGTATGGAACTTTCCACTTGTGGAACTATGTTTCATGTTTTAGAGAAATTCAGATTTTGGAGTTTCTGGTCCTGGATGTTCAACTTATAGTCTTGGTAAAGGGCAATGTATAAATAAACACATAAAAGCAAACAAAACTCTGCAGAGGTCAGATTGGGAACTCACATTGGTAAATTGAAATTATCCTTGTTCATTACCAATTTCACTACATTGACAGACAGACATACATACACACACATAATCTAGGATAAGAAAAACAGTGTTAAAGAAGAAATTATCCACATTAGGAATATTTAAACTAGGAAACTAAGATATATTTGAAATGAGGAATGCCTCTCTAATCCTGAGAACTGATTGCTAAATAGCAGCAAACTCTCATTGGTCTGTCCACACTATTTATTAATCCCAAGGGAGTTCCTGCTGTCCATCATGCTCTAATGGAACTTTCCTTTTGTTTCTACCAGTAAGAAAACGATCAGTTAGAGTAAGTTCAACTTGCCAAATGTTAAGAAAACACTGAAAAAGACAAGTTTGTGAGTTCATCTGCTGTATGCAAAGGGGATACTTTCCCCATCCTGACTCCTGCCCTGTTATCTTGTCCTTATTATTATAACATGACTAAGGGGTACGGAGAAGTTCATCATCTTGAACTGTTTCCAACCTGGGATGACCAAGAACACTAATGAAATATTTCCATTCCTCTTTAGTTCATTCTTATGAATTGGCTTTTAGAATCAAGTCATTTATGTACCCAGAGATACTGTGGGTTTTAAATTGTTATTTCATGAATATATTGATGAAACATTGATGTCATATCATGTAAAGGCTCTTGACCTTTACTCTTGAGTTTCCTTTTTCTTACCACCCTTTGCTGTTGGATTCCTTTGCCTTCCCTGAAGGTCTTCGGCATTCAGAAACTAATGTTGGAAGCTCCTGTGAGGGAAGTGCATTTACTTAGAGGCCTCTTATGCAGCGAGGATATTTTACTTAGTAGTTCCTCCTGCAGTCTGGACCTGTGTTAGTGAGATTTACTGCATCACCCTGGAGTGAAGGTCTGCTCTGCCTCAGGACACTGGCCCATTTGGGAGAGGCTATCCCGGGAGTTACAGTCTTCAGTGAACTGTTCCACTCCCCATGAAACTGGCCCACTTTCCACTCCCAATACCTCAACTGCACACCTGCCAGCTGTTTCACCAACTGTAGTGCAATTTTCTCATCTAAGTTGACTTTCATTTAAAGTGTAAAGATGGAAGGCAGACCTGGGGAAGTAAACACTAATTAGAACACACTCAGAACTGGGAAGCTCGTCTGACCTCTAAACCTTCCTGTAAGAGATAAGGGATAAGTAGTTCCCTTCAGAGTTTCAAGGGAAAATCTGACTTTTGGGCCTGGGCAATGGGCAGCTGGCTTTTCTTGTTTTTTCTTGCACTGATTCCATGAGGCCAAGAGATGTGCTCTTAACAGATGAAGCACCCACTGACATCAAAACAGATGAAAACTATAGCATACCATAGCATAGCATGTATTAGTCATCCACAAAGTGCCCAAGGCAAGCGAGTCTTTACAAACCAGCTTAATGAGAGAGCTGCTTGGTGAACCTCATCAGAGGACAAGTGGAATAAAGTAAAAAATATTTCTCAGTATTCCTTGTGTGCAGCTCATCTGTAATTGGGTTTCTACCAAGCTATTCAAACTGGATCAATAGTTTTCATTTATTAAGTTCTTATTATTGAACGTGCCCAGTGCCAAGTAACTTTATTGCCATAGTCCTCTCTGGTGCTGATTGAAGTGATGTAAAACCAACTAGCTGACCATGAAAAGAATGATCTTTCCTGCTTTGCTTTTCTCCAAGTTAACAGTTGAAAAATTGCAGTTTGTTTATTTCTAATCCACCATACATGAGTATTTAAGTGTAGCAAATATAAATAATGGACAGGGTATTTGGTGTTCATTGAAAGATGTGATATATTTGCAAACATAGCATATGTTTGCTCTTCCAGTCAATGATAATATGTTTATTGGTTTACCTGATAAATGTAACCGTTCACAATACAAAAGTGAGGACACAGAAGACATATATCTGACTCGGTGGGGGGGGGGGAAATGCAAGGGCCTACCTCTATTCTCTGTCCAGAAACAACAAAAAAATGGAGGAAATGTCTTGGAAACAGTTTAACATGTTTTTGAGGTTTTTTTTCATTGTTTGTTTATTGGATAGATTTTCTAATCTCATGTATCAAGAGAGTGGAAAAATGTTTCCATAAGAAGACTGAATGAATGTTCACGGCATTGTTATTTCTAATTAACAAACCAATGGAAACACTGAAAATGAGCATTAATAGTGAATGGATAAATACACCATGATATAACCCATGCAGGGGAATACTACCTAGCCCACCTATGCACCCAAAAACCAAATAAGGGAATGTTCTGTTGCTACAACAGCATAGATAAACTTAAGAAAAAAGAAAGGAAGGAAGAAAGGCAGAAAGCGAGGCAGCAGCAGTTCCACAAACAGAGTAAGTATGGATTCACCGACTAACATTCTAGAAAATATGCATTATATTTTTAGATACAGATAGTGGTGAAGGCAGGGGTGTGGGTGGGGAGAAGGCAGCAGACATGAAGACCTGGAGCATCTTTTGAAGATAATGTGCTCATAGCTGCTGTGTTGATGACAATATGAGTGCAAATATATATAACATGTACAAAGTAACGTATACTTTTTGCATTTGATAATTAGGGCATGCCATTTTAAATATTTTCTAAAATATTTGTAAATATTATTAGAAAATTTAATATTTTACATATCTTTTGTATTTATTTGTATGTGTCTGAATACATGCATGCATGTGCATGTGTGTCTTGTGTGTAGAGGCCAGAGAACCACTTTCTGGAGGTTGTTCTTTGTTTCTACTATGTAGATCCCTGGAATCAAAACTCCAGTAAGTGGAGTTCGGTGAACGCTGCCTTTACCCTCTGGATCATTTCAAAAGCTGTTATTTTAGTTCTATTCCAAGGTTAGAGTTCAATGGAATTGAGTATATCTTTTTGTGTGTGCAGACTTCATGGCCATCCATCTCTAGAGAATTTCAGGCTTATAAAAAGTTAATGTACTTGCTGTAGATAATGAACTATATGTGAATCTAACACCTGAGTAGATGATGATGATATATGCACTGTGGTACAACTGTCTTATAAAGAGGAAGCCACAAAGTGGTATTTCCCTCAGATTTAAAATATAAAAGTAAGTTCTTAGACTACTCTGATAACCCATTATTTATGAGAGCTGCTACTAGGTGCTTAGCCTAGGACAGAAACCTGAGTGTCATTAAATCCTTTGACTTTCAGCAGAGCTCTGTGTAGTGTATAACATGGTAACTTTTGCCTCACAGATCAGCCGATCCAAGATCCTTTTAGGGGGAAGGAGGAATCAAGTAAATATTTAAAGTATATTAAAGTATATTCACCCAGCAAGATGATGAAGTCAGAGTTTAAGCCTGGACAGCTAATTGAAGAAATCCAGGAATAATTTTCAAATGCCAGAAAACTAAGTTAACTAAGTTCTCTAAAGGGAAGTATCTCTGATGTAGATAAGCCTAGGTGTGTTTTTTTTCATCACTCACTTGACGGTAACATTCTCAGATGACCTCAAGACATTAAATGCTGCCCTAGAAGTTCAGTATACAAGACGAAAATAATGCCGGCAACCACCAGACCAACAACTTAGAGCTGGGTCCTTGCTTTTGTAGATTGCAGCCAGCAGTGGAAACTGTTCCTTGTAAGAGACACTAGTGGGAAGACTTAGGGCCTCAGAAGTGGGCCTAGGTGCCACTGATGAAAACTTCATCAAATATTACAAATTTAGCTCGGGTCTGGAAATTTGGAGTCCATTTATTTATTTTTCTAGCTGGGTAAAGGTGTGAAGCAAAGGAAAGCTCACAGACTAGAGAAACAATTTCTCTGGAGCAAGCAGAACGCTCCCAAGAAGCAGCATGTTTTGGAGCATAGAAATCCCCGCAACTTTTAGGTTGACTTGTTAAAAAGAAAAAGACTCACTATATTATATATGTGGGTTGAAAATGTCTACAATGTGAAAATTACTCACTGGGATAATATAATTTCCGGGAGTATTTAAACATAAAAACTTTTTTCTTTGTGGACTCGGCTAACAAAATCAGACACTCTTGAAGTTTCAGTGTGTGGCCCAGGATCCTGTGGGCTTGGCATCTCTGAATGTCTGAGTCTGGACTAGACTTTTCGTGGTAAGAAAATTTACATGCCAAAAGAGCACCTTGAAGTTCCCTTAATAGAGAGTGGAGGTTCAGAAACGTGCTTTGCAAGGTTCACACATGTGCAAACATGCCACAGGACTGCTTTTCTAGCTCTCCAACTCTTTACAAATGCAGAGAACTTCAAATACCAAACCTGGAACGCTGATTCCCCTTAAGGAGTCTCACTTCTACCGAGGCATTCACAAGGAGATTTAAGCCTCTAATTTTTATCCCCATATTTACAGGTTTCTTAGCTATCCCCTTAACCGATCCCTGGCTTCACCTTTATAGATCATTGATACAGTTTGTAAAGATTGCATTAACGTTG